CTGACTGAGACTAAAACTGACGGAGACTGAAACTGACGGAGACTGAAACTGAACTGAGGACTGAAACTTGACAGAGACTGAAACTGACAGAGACTGAAACTGAAACTGAGAGACTGAAACTGACAGAGACTGAAACTGACTGAGACTGAACTGACAGACTGAAACTGAACTGACTGACAGAGACTGAAACTGACAGAGACTGAAACTGACAGAGACTGAAACTGACATTGAGACTGAAACTGACAGAGAGACTGAAACTGACAGAGACTGAACTGACTGAGACTAAAACTGACGAGAACTGACAGACTGAAGAGACTGAAAACTGAGAGACTGAAACTGAAACAGAGAACTGAAACTGACTGAAACTGACAGAGACTGAAACTGAACTGAAACTGAGACTGAAACTGAAGAACTGACTGACTGAGACTGAAACTGACTGAGACTGAAACTGACAGAGACTGAAACTGACAGAGACTGAAACTGAGAGACTGAAACTGACAGAGACTGAAACTGACAGAGACTGAGACAGAGAACTGACAGAGACTGAAACTGACAGAGACTGACTGAAAACTGAAACTGAGAGACTGAAACTGACAGACTGAAACAGACTGAAACTGACTGAGACTGAAACTGACAGAGACTGAATGACTGAAAACTGCTGACAGAGACTGAAACTGAGAGACTGAAACTGACAGAGAACTGAAACTGACAGAGACTGAAAACTGACTGAGACTGACTGAAGACTGACAGAGACTGAAACTGACAGAGACTGAAACTGAAGACTGAAGACTGAAGACTGAAACTGACAAGAAAACTGACAGAGACTGAAACTGCAGAGACTGACTGAACAGACAGAGACTGAAATGACAGAGACTGAAACTGACAGAAGACTGAAACTGAACAGAGACTGAAGAGACTGAAAGAGACTGAAACTGAGACTGAACTGACAGAAACTGACAGACTGAAACTGACGAGAGCTGAAACTGACGGAGACTGAAACTGACAGACTGACTGAAAGAGACTGAAACTGAGACTGACTGAAGAGACTGAAACGACAGAGCTGAAAACTGACAGAGACTGAAACTGAAGAGACTGAAACGACGGAGACTGAACTGACCGACTGAAACTGACGGAGACTGAAACTGGGAGAGAGACTGAAATGACAGAGACAGAAACTGACAGAGACTGAAACTGACTGAGACTGAAACTGACAGACTGAAACTGACAGAGACTGAAACTGACGGAGACTGAAACTGACGGAGACCTGAACTGACAGAGACTGAAACTGACAGAGACTGAAACTGACAGAGACTGAAACTGACAGAGACTGAAACTGAAAGAGACAAACTGACTGAAACTGACAGAGACTGAAAGACTGAAGACTGAAACTGACAGAGACTGAAACTGACAGGAGACTGAAACTGACGGAACTGAAACTGAGAGACGTGAAACTGACAGAGGACTGAAACTGACAGACTGAACTGAAGACTGAAACTGAGCAGAGACTGAGACAGAGACTGAAACTGACGAGACTGAAACTGACAGACTGCTGACAGACTGAAATGACGAGACTGAAACTGACGGAGACTGAAAACTGACAGAGACTGGAAACTGACAGAGACTAGAAACTGACAGAGACTGAAACTGAAAGAGACTGAAACTGAAAGAGACTGAAACTGACAGAGAATGAAACTGACAGAGAATGAAACTGACACGACACGTCAGGTCAAGAAACCGCTACAAATCATGTGAGATCAGGAACATGACATAATCTCTCTCTTTCTCTTTCTCTCTCTCTCTTTGTCTGTCTCTGTCTCTCTCCTCTTCCTCTCTCCCCCTCTCTCTTTCTCTCTCTCTCTCTCTCTCTCTCTCTCTCCTTTGTCTGTCCTCTGTCTCTCTCTTTCTCCTCTCCCCCTCTTTCTGTCTCTCTCTCTCTTCCTCTCTCTCTCTCTCTCTCTCTTTCTCTCTC